GGTCAAGTCTTTTTAATTAAGAATTCTTGCACAGGACACTTTTGGAACCAGAATTTCAGAAGTTCCACAGTACAGTATAAAGTCTGCAAAGCACAGTATGTCAGTAGAGCTTCATTTGATGATGCTAAGTATATAAAATGTTTAGAAAATATAAAATTTGACATATATTAATTATTTATAAGTCTCCAGTGATGAATGCCATTAACTCTTTCCTCCTAGGTATGCATGTGCTACTCCTCTCTTCAGATGGGATTATTTTCCCTGTTTCCTTTGACAAAAGCATGCAGGCAATGACATTCTGGCACTTCTAAGCCCAGGCCTTAAGAGGTTAACAATTTCCACTTCCTTCTTTGAACAGATATTTGGGGCTCTTCCTTTTGGAATTCAACCACTATGCTGTGGGAAGCGTGAGCCCTATGGAGAGGTTACATGGAGGAGAAACTAACTACCAACCATGTGGATGAGCTATCTTGGATGTCACAGTTCTGATAACTGCAGCCAACATCATGTGGAGCAGAAGAACCTTTCAGTTGAGTCAGCTGAGCCCAGTCTACCCACAGAATCATGAGAGTTAATAAAATGGTTGCTTAATGCCAAAAAGTTTTGAAGTTGTTATGAAGCCAGAGATAACCAAAATAGAAACTCGTACCTAGAGAAAGGGTGCTACTGGGCCAAAACCAAATCATGTAGCCTTAACATGGGAACTGAGAAGTGGTGGCTAGAATAACAATAAATCGTTATTGAAAGGAAGCCCTTGTTATGAAACACAACACCTGCAGTAATGGGAAATGTAGAACTAATGAACTTGTGTAAATCATTAAGGGGAAGTAAATGAATAAACTTGTGAATCTGGCCAAGGAGATTTCCAGGAAGAATATTGAAAATTCCAAGTGACTACTTCCAGCTGGCTATGATCAAATATGAGATGGGAGATGAACTAAGAACCTGCTCAGTTTTGGAGAAAAATTTATCGGAAATATAAAGGGCCCAGATCACCTTTTCCAGCCAGCTAGAGGTTCTCAAGGAGGAAATGACCTCTGGACAAACATCAAATCCAAGGAATTGCTAGTAAAACATAATATCAGGGCAAGTTAGGGTCAAGGGTCCAGCTGTAATAACTTTTAAGGCTTCATAAACATTTAAGCCTGTGTCTCATGGGTAACTTAGCTAGACAAAAAGACTTCTAAGAATCTTGTGAGCACACACTGTAACTCACTCACAGACAATGGGTATCTAAGATTCTTACGGATATTGTCTTCCAGCCCCCTGACTCTCAATTCAAAGTAGAGAGAGGCTTGTCTTGAATGGATATGTGCATGTGCCTTTAGTGGATTATAATTTGATTGATAGGATATACACAATATTTTTAAAGGAATCACATCAGCTTAGTCTACAAGGGAGAGATGATTCCAAATAAAGAGGCTTCTGGGCCTTCAAGCTTCAAAAATCAGGAAGCAATTTGAGAAAGCTACTCAGTTTTAAACTTAAGCCATTTCTTAGGGAAAAGAATGACTGAGTAGATAGAGTAAAAATCTTGTAGAGAAGAGCTAGGCACTGAGGACCATTCTCTGAGAGAACTAGGCCCTAACTGATATACATTCCCTGCTATTGAATCAGTTCAAAGAGATATGTGCCCAACTGAAGTTCAGACTGTTAACTGCTTTGTACCTCTCTCATTTTTCCTCTTTTCAAACAAGGGTATTTTGCCTGAATTGCCATTATATGCTGGATGAATATGGGAAAGAAAACTTTCCTTTTAGTTCATGCATCTTCAGGTTGGGAGGAACTGCAGTAAAGGAGTACTTGAAACTGATTTAGCAGAGAGTTTACGGGCCTTGATCCTGAATTTGAAAATGTATTGAGATGAGACTAAGGTATTTTGGGAGGTGATGAATGTATTTCTCACCTGTCAAGAACATGGATTGATATGACCTGAGAGTATGTTACAGTAACTACTCTCCAAAGATGGCTCCACCAACCCCTTTCCTTCTCATATATGCATGCCCATGAGGGGTAAAGTTTCTTTTCACCCTTCTTCTTTAGTCTGGGCTAGTCCTATAGATTGTTTGACCAGTATGGTATAATGGAAATGATGTTCTGAGACTTCCAAACCAGGACCTCAAGAGGACTCACAGCTTGTATTTTATTCTTCTTGGAATGTTTACACTTGGGATGCCACCTCTTGGATCCCAACCACCATGATAAGATGAAGCCCAGCCATTATGATGGAAGAACCTGAAGCCAGGTGGAGAGGTCACATAGAGAACTGAGGTGTGACGTCTGAGTTCCCAGCTAACAGCCAGCAGCAACTGCCAAACATATTCTTCAGGAGCTGTCTTGGATGGTTCAAGACCAATCAAGTTCCTAGAAAATTGTAGCTCTAGCCAACCTCACGTGGAGGAGAACCACCCAACTGATACCTGTCAACTCAGGTTTTTGTGAGAAAAATGAAATGGTGATTGTTTCAAGACAATTAAATTTGGGGGTGTCTATCAGTAATAGACAACCAAAATAATACATTATGCCACTAAGTAATAAAATGAACGTCACGAAACCCACTTTAGCTCAGGAACTAAAATGTCACCAATATTGTTTCATCAATTCGTTTGTTCCTTCTTTCATTCCTGTCCTGCCATCACTCCCACCCTGAAACAGTAATCACAGTCCTGAATTTTTGCTATCAGGTAACTTTTACATAACAATTAAAAAGTTTTATAAAAAATATATGTATTCCTATATATTATATAGTTTACATTTGCTTGTTTTTAAGCTTTATAAAAAGCCTGTATCATACTGTATGCTTCTGAGACTTGCTTTATCTATCACTTTATCTCTCAGGTCATTCTCCCTGCTAACAAAGTTACAAAACTCACCATTTATTCTCTCAATAGATATTTGAGTAACTACAGAGCTGCCTTGAATCTTTTCACGTGTACTCTTGTGCACCTAAGAACTTCTCGAATGTACGTATGTAGTAGAGTGGTTAGGCATTAGAGACTGCATTTAGCTTTACAAACCGAATTTCTTTCCAGTGTTACCAGTTTACAACCCCATGTGTAGATCTTTTTGATACATGGTTTCATTGTTATTTTCATAATTTTTCAATCTAGTGGATGTAAAGCAGTATTTGTTGTGGACTTAATTCGCTGATAACTTAATGAGGTTAAACATCTTTCCAAATGCTCAGTCACATAATCTTAAAATAGCTGGTTTCTGTCTTTTGCTCATTTTTCTACAGGACAATGAATAGAGCAATAGGCATCCTTGTGTTCCTGATTTTCAGTGTATTCAACTTAGTCATGATGCGTTCTTTTTTCATGTAATGCTGAATTCAGTTTTTGACTTTTACATGTTTTAAAACGTGCAATTAGTCTTTTCTCCTACTGAGTGAGTCTGATTCTAGTATCAATAAGTTATACTGGCCTCATAAAAGGAGTTAAAAGTTATTCCCTTATCTCCTTTTAGAAGAACTTGTATAACATTGAACTATTACAGTACTTGAAAGAGGAATAAAACATCTGTAAACATGGATTCGATTTATCTTTGTCAAAAACTGAAACCAAAAAAAAAAAAAAACTAATGAAATTTACTATATAAAAAAACAGAAACCACCCTAAAATTGTTTATTATCCAATACTATTGAGTAAGTCTATCCAGTTTTATCTACACTCTCTATAGTCTATTTCTTCTTGAGCCAATTTAAGGAACTGCATTTTTCTAGACATTGGTCTATTTTACCTAAATTTCCAAATACATTAAGATGCACTGATAGTCTCTCAACATTTTCACCTCTTCTGTATCTATGGGTTAGGATCCCTTTATCAATCTTTATATTGTTCACTTGGCTGTTATCTGTTTGATTATGCCAATTTGTTTGTTTTATCATGAAAAAATGTTGACATCTCTTTTCTAATTCACCAAGTTCTTTCCTGTATCTCACGCTTCAACATTCTTTTCCTAACTTAAGTTACATACCTGGCCCTTTCCCATAAACATTTAATTTTCCTCAAAGTGCTGTTATTACTGTATCACCCAGTTCCAAAAGTATATACTTATAATTAGGTTCCAAGTATTTGTTTTCTTCTTTCATCCATGAAGTTTTTTTAGAACTTGTAAATGCATGAGTTTAAAAAGTTAGCTTTATCACTGACCTATTTCTGATTATCCACTTAATCTCAATTTTTTTGAAATTTGTGACTATTTCATGCCTAGTACATGATCAATTTTTGTTAAAATACAGTGCTTAAGAATATTCCCTAATTGTTGATGATTCTAAATTTATCCATAAATCCATGTTAATTGCATTATTCATCAAATCTGTGTATTCAGTCATTTTTTGGTCCACTTGATTTTTCATTAAGAGCTGTTGAAACTTCCCACTATATTATTTGTTGGTTTAGCACTGCAGTTTATACATTTTGAGGCCATTTTGTAATGTATATAAAAATATAAAATTGTTATACATTCCTAATGAGTTGATCCTTTTACCATTATTTAGTGGCCTTCTCCATCTTTAGTAATGCTACCATAAAACCTAATTTTGATTTAGTATCACTAAAACAATAGAAATGTTCTTTTGCTATTTGCCTAATGCATTTTTTTCACCTTTTTAAAAATCCAGGCTTAGCTGCATTAAAAAAAAAAAAATCTAACCAATCTGTTCTTTAACTGGGTTTAGGTTATTTGTATTTAAGAATTACTATTGGACTTGTTACTATTATTTTACGAAGTCTGTCCCTCCCCACTCTGAATTTCTTAGCTTTTTTTGTAGTTACTGTCTTCCTAGTTCACATTTTAGACTTATTTTCCTTTGGAATGCTTCATTCTATATCTATTATTTTAGAAGTTACACTTGAGATTTCACATATTTAACATATTAAACAGTAACTTGAGCCATTATCTGAATAATAAGAGTACCTGAAAACACTTCAATTCCTGTCACCTCTTCCCATCTCATAGCTATTGTCGTTTTCAATTACATCTTATTTTAAGAGTCCACATTCATGTTGCATAAAATGTTTATTTTACATTTGTTTACAATTTTACTTCTTATAAACACTTCTTTCATTACCATTGTTTTATATCAACATGATTTACATATTTTAACATTTTACTTGCACACTAGTTCTTCAATTTCAGATCATCCTTTTGGAATCACTTTCCTTCTTGAAGATAATCCTTTTGTAGTTTCTTTAATGAAGGTCTGTTGATGGTAAAATCTGTTTTTTCATCTGAAAATGTCTTTATTTCTGTTTTGCTTGGTACAAATTCTAATAATTCTCAGAATTTTGAAGGCTTTATTCCACCATCTTTTGGGTACACTGTTGCTACTGAGAAGCCTACTAAATATTTGACTGCCTTGCCATCACTTTTGATCTTTGCCCCTTTAACTGCTTTTAGAATCTTGCAGTTACACTACATGGAGTTTAGGCATGGAGGTTATCTGTATATACTGGAGATAATTGTGCTTCTTGAATATATGCACTCATGTTTGTCCAACAAACATGGAAAATCCTGTTATATCTTCAAATACCGCCACTCTCCCATTCTCTCTATTCTCTCTTTCTAGTACTTCCAGTCTTAACTTCTCTTTAATATTTTTATTTTCTGATTCATTTCTCCTTGCTACACACTGTGCATTTTCTTTGGATCTACCTCCCAGTTTATTTATTGTCTTTTCAACTGAGTCTAATATGATATGCAACATGTCTGAGGTTTTTTTCAAGTAACATGCTTCTCATTTCTAGCAGTTCAGTTTGTTTCTTTTTTAGATCTGCTTTTGGTTCCATTCTTCTTGTATGTTGGTGATGATATCTTGGAGAACTGAATCCAAAGTTTGTTATTTCTATAGGTTCTTTCTCACACCATCAAGTTTCAACTGGCATCTGCTGATCTCTAGTCATGAAATAATATTGCTTTATCTTACTCTATGAGAATCCTGGGCTTTATAAATCTTGCTTTTGCCAGAGGCTAATGAGTACTGCAAACCAAGGGCCATTTAAAATGTCCTAGCATCTCAGATTCGGATATGTCTCTTTCTTTCTGGTCCAAGGTAAACTGCATATGGCAGTGCTGTAATTGGTGTTTGCTATCTGGGCAACCAATGTCCACCTGCATGCCTAATACAGTATACACAAATTTTAACTCAAAATGTGTTCATTTTTGTAGGGGAGAAAAAGTAGAGGTATGATTCTTGGCGATGTCCCCTACTTTTTTCGAGCCTACTAATTCAAAAGTAGATTTTAGTCAGGATCTAGTTGTTTTACAGTACTTAGTCTAATGTATTGTTGGAAGCAAAAGTCTTATGTAGTATATTTAAACTGTTATGATACAGTAACCTGAGAAAGCACATGATTTATGGCAATCCTTACTGATTAAAATCCCTCTGAAAAGGCCTCCCACTCCTTAATCAGAATTTGATCAGTATTTTGGAAGTGGATGAAAATTTGAAGGTCCTATAGTATGAATTACCTAGTAGGTTGTTCCCCACTTTGCAGAAATTTCTCCTATTATTACTAAAATATTCAGTCAACCCCAATTATTCAAATGTTCAATGTTCTAATCAATCTGTGATCCAGATCAACAGGACTAAAATCTATGAAAATAAAACATCATTTTGAACATTTAAAAAAATAGATAATAATGATTTGTTTCATGCAACTTCCACTTAGATGCATAACTTTATTTTTGGAAGCCTAGGCCACCTATAAGACAAGCAGGACTAAACAAGGCAGCTGGTGATTTCATTTTAGTCAGAAACACACCTAAAAGGCATTATGGCAGCAGATCTGGCTGCAAGTGTCTTAAATGCAGATGGACTGTTTGCATCTTTACTATTCATAACTGTTGGTCAGTGTTCTCTGGATGATCAGGAAGTTCTCTGTGCCTCACCCTAATCACTGAAGTAATGAAAGGAGAGACCAGCAGCAAAGACTGCAACTGCAAATGCTGCAATCACACCTAAAAGTAAAACAAACACAAAACAAACGGAAATGGAATGAGCAAAAGAAAGGCTTAACTGCTCCTAGACTCTGAAATGTAGGTAAGTGATGCGCCTAAACAACACACACACACACAAACACATATACTTACAGACACAGATACATATACTAAAAGGAAGAAAAGTCTTAGAGAAAAATACAGCAGTAAGTTGAAAAACTAGATTGCAAAGGTTGGACTGGTAATCATCACCACCTTAGCAAAACCTTAAAAAAAGTGTCTCTCTTACACACATATACGCACTCACACACCTCTTTGCAAAAACCTAATACATACTTAAAAGACTTCTATAAATACTTACAGTGACATTCCAACCATCTCATGCTCCTTAACATAAACCAAAAGTGTCAGCTCCGATTGTTCTCCATCATTATAATATAAAGACATTTGTGTAACTACAGAAATTGAGATTCCACCATTATGAAACATAAGAATTAGTAAGTCTAAGTTGGTAACTTTTATTTTTATTTATTTGTTTCTTCATTATCGTAAGTTAAAAACTAAACTAAACTAACAAGAGTGGTCCAGACACACACACACACATGCACTACACTTGGGTACAAAGAATTTAGGTAATTAAGTTTATCTAACAAATAACTCTTCCAACTTTTCAGTCAAAAATCTTAATGTTTATAAAGAATTTCTCAAATTGGCTTTCCTCTAAACAACAGTCTCTGTGTTCTTTGATCAATAGGTCTAAAAAATAATGACGTGACTGTCACACTTCTTGGAGTTTTTAAAATACTATAGTGCACTACAAATTTCCAGACTTGAATTTGACTTTTTCATAGAACACATATCAAAATCTTCTGCAACAGCAATCCTGGGAATACCAGTTTGGGAAATACTGCCCCTAATATACTCATTAGTTACCAAAACTCAGCATGCTTTTCTTCTAAAAACACCAAAACAATTAATAGGGAGTGCTACCTTTGAAGGTATTTGGGATAATGTATTATTTATAAATATTTCTATCTTCAAGGCTTAGCACTTTCCATAGTACTTAATACTGGCTTAATCTAGCACTTTAAAGATAGCAAAATGAAATGAAAACAATTTTGAAGTAAATAAGAAAACTCAAATCCAAAATACTATGTTTTCCAAGTTAATAAAAGAAATAAAATACCTATGTTTTGCTGAATTTTCAGTACTACGGTAGTTTCAACTGGTTGTTGTGGGTGTTCATCATCTATGTGGTCCAAAGAAGCTTCACTATTTATAGAGGAACTTATACAAGCTGTAAGAGGATAACAGTAATAAATCCCACATAAAATGAGAACATTTACCATTTAAGAACAAGTTTTAAAGTAGAACATTATAAAGAAAATATATGATGAGCTCCATTTTCCTTCAACTTGATTTTTGTATAATATAATGAATTTGCTCATTATCAAATACAGGTAAATTAAATTTCATGGAATATATGTCAAACTGACATAATTTAAAAAATACTTTATATACTTTTATAACAGAATGAAACCAGAGAGCCAGACAGCCAGTTTTGAATGACTCCCACAAATTTTAATTTGCTTACTGTATGGTCACAGAGATAAACTAATATGAAAAAACCAGATAGGAGCAAGGAAACCTTCACTCTTAAATTAGATTGATTTATACCATCCTTATTGGTATCTTGGCAATTAATAATTTCAAATAATCATATATTAGTAATAAAAGCAAGGATCAGCAATCTGTAGCCCATGGGCCATGTCCTATGTATCCGACAAAGCCAAATTACTAACTATTTGGCTCTATTAAGAAAAAGATGGCAGACTCTTGATTTAACCTGAAATTTGAAATATATAAGCAAAATATCATAAATTTAACCTTAAAAAAACTCGATTTTAAGCAAGGCAAGAACATTATCTCATTTTAAAGACAGAAAATAAAAAAAGATGGAAAAAGTTAAGTGCATATTTGAGGGTCATGAGCAGCATATGAAGGATTCAAATACAAGTTTTCTTTCTATTTCATTATGCAGACAATAATTAGTTAAGTTAGCCCAGCTGAATTTATTTAACACTTATTAAAAATATTTGAGCTGAATATATCCTTAGAGGTCACACAGCACAATGGTTTTCATTTTTCTCCCTAGTGCTAGTGAATCTGACAGAAAAGTTCAGTATGTGAATTAGATGAAAGTAGAATTATTCTCACTGAAGTAAGAACGGAGGGCTCCTGGGGCCAGACACCCCTCCCTGAAGAAGTGGGTAGTCAAGAGTGCTGTTCTACTGAACTCTAGGGAACTATGTTTGAAAACAACTACTTCACATTAATCCATTTATTTACAAAAAAAGAGAGCCACAGAGTGAGAGACAGTAAATACTACTGCTTAAATTCAAAATAAAATAGACGATTGCTTAGATTTTGTCCTAATGGACATCTTTGCATCCCAATATACTAGCATGCACTCACAAGAATGATATATGAACTTACTAAAATAGATATGTGTGGTACCAAAATGGATGAAAGAAAAAAAGAAATATGCCTATTTCTCAATTTCCCATGAAAAAGAGTTTACTACCATTTTCAGAAATAACGCTTAGGAACTACCTCATTAGAATCAACATTGCCATTCTTTTTCTTCTTCTTCAAGCATATGACTAAAGTACTTGAAAAACACACAAACACAGAACACTCCTCTCTTTTTTTCTACTCCCACATCAAATTAGTCACAAAAGCTAACAAATTCTTATTATAAACTGTCTCTAGAACTATTCAGTCTTCTGTATCTCTACAGCTTCTGGTTTTCTCAAAGGCCATACACAACACCTTAAGTCTAGACGACATTAGCTTACCAACTTCAAATTTCTCACAGTTTGATCTTCAGGTCTAACATTGAATGGATGTACAATTTTATTCAAGTTAAAAACACATACACGCACAAAACTCTGGCTTTTCTATGAGCAAATGTCATCGCTAAATAGCTTCCTTAGAGCCAGTAAAATCCTTACAACAGATCATTTAAAAAACGGATGATGCATGAATTATATCTACTTGCTACATGATTGTTTTTACTTAAATACTTGTGTATAAAAAGCACAAAAATAGTTTAATTTGTCCTGATATATTACTTATATGTTTCATATTGAATGTTATATGTGAAGATCATGTTCTAGTAAGTCCTCTGCACAATTTACTTCTGCAAAAAGGGACATTCCACTGCTATGCTATCTCTACTTTTAATGACATACAAAATCCTGTTGATTTGATACAAATTTGAGATAATTTTACTGAATGTAGAGCACTTTCAAAGATGAATAAGGCCTTTTCATAACTATTTGTTGTCTGTTTTGGGTGGGGGCCTATAGGACTTTACTTCAAATCTCATGCACAATGTCATTTCACCAGTACTTTAATCTGAAACATATATGCAAATAACATACAATTAAATAGGAAAGTTAAGTTTTAACCATTTTAAATCCAAGTAATTTTAATTTCAAACAAATCCCAAATTATCAAGTAAGAAAGCAAATGTCAAAAAAAGGAAAACAAGGGCCATGAAGAATGCATATTAATTTGTAGATGTGTTCAATTGAACACACTGCTAATAGGTAAACAGGATTATTTAGAAACTTGAAATGAAATGCTAAGACTAGTACTCCCTAGTTAGTTGTCTCCTTCCCCATCCCTGAATCCTAAATTAATAAGGTTTCAATATAACCAATAATTTAGCCATAAAAATACATCTTCAGCATTACTTCTTTCTTTACACTTACCAGTGCTTAACCAAACAACAAAAATTCTAGCTCTGACATCATGAAAGAATTAAAGATAAATTTCACCAGATTTTAAAGGTATTTCTCCAAATTTTTAGCTGATACTGTGGATATAAAGTACATCTGAATTATTTAGTTAATATCTACTAGAAGATGACTAATGCATCCATGACATTTAAAGCCATAGTTTTCCCTCACCTTAAGTGAGTCATTTTGACAAATAAATCATTCTTTGTCACTTAAATCATTCAAAAGTTTATTTTAAGGTACTTACTTGGCAAAATATGTGTTTTTAAAAATAGCAACTACTCAGCAACTATATTACAGAACAGAAATAATTCAGTAATAATCAAGCAAATAATAACATGTACTCAGGAAATAAAGCCAGATACATATAGTAAGTTTGGTGGTCCTAAATGTATAGTAATTGATTTCAGTTTCTGGATTTGAACTTTTGAAATAATAGTTTTTAATGGTTTACTTTATATGGAAACCCTAATTTCAAGTATTTTCAAAATCTATGCACACTATAAAACATTACTTTCATACTTCAATATTAATGTTTTTCATTATAATTCAGAATGTTCATTATTTAAGTCTTGTAATAATGCTAGTTAATAACACTACATTTATGAATCTCTCTGTTTAGAAAGCATTTTCTCTGACATTTTTACTAAATTCTCATATCAACCCTGAGAGAATCTGAGATTCACAGAGGACTTGTTCAAGGTTACACAGCACTAAGTGCCAGACCTGGACTCAGCTGTCTTGGTAAAATTATGTATCTAATATTTTTTAGTAAACTAATAAATGAACGAACAAATGAGTAAATGAGTAAATAAGTGAATATAATTCTAAACCAACTGAATATTTATGTAAAAGCATGTAGTTTTTCTATTAAAATGTTTGTATTTTCATGCTGCATGTTTTATACTATGTAAAAACATACAGCATTGCAGACAAGTCACATTCTTGGTCAGAAAACAGGTGATGCAAAGTGTTCAATTGATAAAAAATATAAAGTTATTTTTACTGTATTTTATTCTTCAAAATGAATTCAAATGTCACCTGCTATGAAAAGCTCTTCTTGAATCCCTCACAGGGACCGTGCGTGTGCTAAATGTTCTGATAATTCTCTGTTTATTCCTCTCTAGAACTAACTGCTTTGTTTTAGAATAACCCATTTCTTTGTATTTCCCACTATACCACTGACTTCTTGAAAGTCAGGACTATAGATTTGTTCTCTAGAATCCTAGTGATTGATACATAATAGGCAATCAACAAATATTAATCAATCACTTAGCTGAGATATATTGTTTCAAAACAAGGCAGAGTCCTAAAAGAATGATACCCACCATACTGAACTAGTACCCTCAATACACTGTATTAGAAAAAATATGTAATACCATCAAGAAACCATAAGTTTGACACAGCATACATGTAAGTATACACACCTAAACTTCCCAAATTGCTGTTTTGTTTCCTTTGTCCTTATATTAAACTCTTCCTACTCAATTCAGTTAATCTATCACTACACTAGACTGCCAGCATAAAAAAATACAACAGAAAATGATTTAAAATACAGTGCAAAACATACAATTAAGAACCAATGTTAAAAGCTTATCAAAATCAAAACTCACAAAAGACAAATGGATTAATATTTATACACCATGTGAGATTTAAAATTTATTTTAAACATTTCATCGTTATTAGTTCATGCTAATATTTAGTGTGGTAAAAACAATGCTAACTGAGGATAAAGCTCACTGAAGGAAAGCTGAATAACAGGGTTAAAATATATTTAGTATACATATAAATGGTAAAAACAATTCATAAGGGAACAGCATTTAAATCTGATAATAGATAAGAATATTTATCTTGAGGCTAAAAAGACTCAATTACTTACAAGACTATTTCAAAGAATTCAAAGAATCATTCAAAACTATGGAACTTTTAATATATTTGGGACCATCCACTATATACTATAGAACATCAATTTATACAACAGGTGTGTGCCTTCAGTTAAAGCTTAATATAAAAGTAGTAATAGTAAAGAATGAGAAATTGGAAAGAATTTATTAAACTTGAAAATACTAATGTCAAAGCTTTGTTACTACAGATTATAGGTTATTGCTAACCTAAGGTTAATACATTTCTTTCTGACTGAATTATTAGCTAAATCAATGGAGACCTTAAAATTCTAATCATTAATCTTAAGGCCTTATGACATGCTCTATCTACATAATTAATAATGCAAACACATTCTATCTTTCAAATCAGATTATAGGCTTCTTGAGGTAAGGGATCTGGTCATTGATTTATATCTATCATATTTGCATTGAACAGAGCAAATGCTTAATAAATATCTAATAAACAAGACATACTGAATGCTATAAAGTAGAATATTTCTCAGGCAACAACTGATGCTACATATTGTCACATGTTTTAAAATGATCTGAATAATTGAGCCACAGAGCCATGACTATTATATTCTTTTAAAAGCTTCATCATATTCAGT